ATTTCCCTGCCCAGTTTGGAGTCAGAACAGCTTGTTAAGGTATGCTGTCTTTACTCTCGCTGGCCTCATTTTACCAAATATTGATGAGGCATTCTGTGTACTGGTGGGAACATTATTACAGCAAAAATAACAAGGATTAATGCTATGCTTGTAACTTGTTTAAAGGCAATGATTTCCATGGAACTGATTGAATTATTTCCAAATCAATCTGGAGTCTCATCAGGTTTCTCTTAGGTATACGTATAACTTTATTTGGCCAGTCCAAACTATGAAGCAGCATATTGTCTATAACGATAGGCAAATCATAAGGTAAAGACAAAAATAAATATATATACTGTGTGTGTGTGTGTATGTATATATATATATATATATATTTAAAAATGGGTGTGCGTAATTAAAATACAGTCTATAAAATAGAAAGGAGTGATGTTTAAAGTGAAATTCACTTTAATGTAATCATCACCAACAGACCCATTTTACCTTCCCTTTGCTTCCTCTGTATTATTATACAGTATTATATAGCACCAACAGATTGTGCAGTGCTTTACAAGGGCAGACAGTACAATTACAATACAGTTCAGTACAGGCGGTTTGGGAGGCCCCTGCTCTGGGGAGCTTGCAATCTAAGGAGTGGAGCAAGTGATACAAAATGCATTAATTGTGAGATATGAGCTGATGGAGAAAGGTAAAGTACAGTTATTAGGTAAATATAGGGTAGGCTTCCCTAAGGAGAGGAGTTTTCAAGGGTTGCCTAAAGATGCACAGATTGCGGTAGGGAGAGGGCCTGGAGAAGTCCAAACATGGGTGACAAGGGGGCTATAGAGTAAGAGGTCTTTGGAGGAGTGGAGAGAATGGTTTGGCTAATATTTTGAGAGAAGGTTGGTAATGTAGCTCGGGGCAAAACTCTGGATGGCTTTTTATGTTAATATTAGGGGACCAAGCTATAAGGGACCATGTGACCCCTTCCACTCATGTGACAGCAGAGCTGCTTGCTAATTGTCCTTTCACGCAGGCAGAGCTGTCATATGGTGATGGGGAAAGAATTATCAGCACTGTAAGCTCCAGTTTGTGACTTGAAGCTGACTCTGGGCTTCTACTCATTTCTGGCAGCTGAACAAAGCAAGTTGAATGTAAGTATGTGTAGCTGATGAGGCCACCATTAAAATGAGCCATAATGTGCAAAGGACAGGTTGACTTTAAGAAGAGATGTGCATGTATGTGTGTGTTAGCACTAAATATACTGTAATATTCTTCATTGAACAGCAACTGTAGGAAACAAACACATTTGTGAATGGCTGAGGGCTAGTTCACACCAGATGCAATTGTGACACAGCCTCTTCAGTTTGGCTGCTGCAGCCAAAATACATCACAATGATTTTCTATGGGATTTCTGGTGCTCTATTCACACCAGTGCAGTCCGTTCTGATGCAGTCAGAAAAAGTTACTGCTTGCCCTATTTTAGCTGCATGGGATTGCAATGGAACGCATCAAACGCACTGGAACACCTGAAATCCCATTTTAAGAGGGGAAAAAAATGCATTAATCGCAGTAAGAACGCATCACATTGCAGCTGCACAGACGCACACAGTTCTGGTGTGAACTAGCCCTAATACTTTGTGGTTGTGCTGAAAGTAGACCTATGCAACTTATATAACTTTTAACTTTGTCAACTGCCTTAATGAGAGGGATAGAGACTAGATGGCTAAAATGCTTTCTTGGAGATAATGCTGCTCCAGGTTCCTGTCACTGCTAGTCAAGCAATCTCTTATGATGCCAGCCTTAAGGTGCCCATACACTGCACGATTCTCGTACGAGAATCGCGGGAAATCCCACGATCGTACGAGAATCGTACAGTGTATGGAAGGCGTGCGACCGTTTCTACTGTATGGTCGCACGTCTTCCATCGAACAAGCAGGCTGGAAAACCCACTGGGAATCATACGATTCTCAGCGAGTGAGTGGCCTGCTTGTTCGACAACTGACGCACGGGCCGGTGTCCGCACCCGTTTGCCGTGCTTGCAAGCCCGCCCCTCATTGCAGTCATCGCAAGCCCGATCTACCTGTCCAAGATGGGCAGATCGTACGTTTTTTAAGTACTTTACAACCATCGCAAGACTAAGGTCTTGCGATGGTTGTAAAGTGTATGGCCACCTTTAGTGTGACCAATGATCCTCTGCTCCATCAGAGTTTACATAATTAAAAATATATACTGTATGGCCAACATTTGTGTTACATTTTATCCATCTCAGTAGGACAGTTAACATAGCTTTGCTGCAGCTAACTTCAGCAAGCTTTTCTCAGTACATTTGGGTGGGAGTGCCATGTTTTGCTGCACAATCTTCCCGTCTGATAAATATACAGGTAGGTTCTTACACTCAACCTGCATGCTTACAGTCAGGATATATTGCATACAATGCCAGAATACAAATTAAACCCATTCAGCATATAGGATCGGTCCCAAGAATTTTAACATTAAGAAAACACAGTATATATGGTGTACAGAAGTATTGTGATTTCCAAAAAGTTGGTTCTCTATTCTTCCTGTTATCTAACATGTTACAGGACCCAGTCGCTACAAGGGTCTTTCAGTGAATTCAGTAGATTAACAGGCCATTCTGACAGTACCTGAAGGGTATTCAATACACTACTTTTGAGATATGTGATTCCTATTCACTGCTACTAAAACAAAAGTCACAGCTCAGCCTGCTGCAAATGTACAACCAGCATACTGTGATAGTACAGACTGAATGCCATTGGTTAATCCATGATCATCTTGCACAGCAAATTATTTCTCAGACACATGTTCTGCGGAGATGTTAAGGTCCCAAGAGAGTCGAAGCACGCGGTTGTTAAGTAGAGATGTTGATTAATACTGCAAGGGGAGAAATTGAATTAGGTGAAGAGAATCCCTGTGATAATTTAATTGAAAGACTATTGAGGTAGGCTAACATCAGGAATTTATAGATTTACATTGGCTGGATGAAAAATTAAGCCCATGGAGCAATTATTGAATGAGTCTCCCGCTGTGCTTGCCATCACCATCAGTCTCTTTATAAAGTTGCAAGTTTTATATGTGGCACATCTTTGGCTCGGAGGTGCCTTTTAAAGTCGATGAGACATAAAAAAACACAGGCGGCATTTGAATAAACCCATACATATTAGACCTTAGCTTAAAGTCCACACACCCACCTCTTACGTGTACAGTTCTAAATACATACTAGTCGTCAAATAGCCAAAGCCTCATAGAAATTATAGGTGGTGTATAACCTCCCTGGCGGTCTGATTATCTCAGTTTTTTTTTCTTTTCGTTTTTTTTACTTTTGAATTTCCCGCCGGTTCCTCCCCCTGCGACGCCGGCGCTCGCAAGGGACGGAAGACGGATGCCGGCATCGGCCGGAGGTCACAGCGTGGCTCGTAGGGACAAGGTAAGTGACGCTACAGTGTAATCCCGAGTGTGGCTCGGGGTTACCGCTTTTGGTACTGAAAATTTACCCCGAGCCACACTCCGGATTACCGCCTGGAAGGTTAAAGTGAATCTGACCTTTTCAAACTGAGCATATGGAAGAATAAATGAGCAGAAGTTACCTTTATTGAAAACTACAGGTAACAGTTGCATGTGAAAAATTTAGAGCTATAGGCAACTGAAGTTGTACAAATCTCAGCTGCTCCTTCAAAAGCTTAGCCCTGCCTAGAGCTCCACCTGTTGACTTTAATTGAAAATATAAAATAATCATATGCTATTTTTACATTTTACATCCATATTTTTATTTGTCTGATTAAAAAAAAGAAACGTAATCTTTAAAAACTATATTTATTTTTAGCCCTGAAGATAATGAATATATGCAAAACTACTATATAAACTCTTGAACTCATGTTGCAATTTATTTTTTAAGAAATAGGGTGTAATTGTTTTTAAATATGACTATATTTTTACTTCGAAAAAATTAACTTCAGCCCACCCCATCATTTATTAGTGGATTATGGTGGCTTGAATCTTTCCTTTTCCACTTATACCTCTGGAGGGCGATGATATCTGCACAGTAGTGTTTCTGGCTGTCTCTGCAGGTATAGCCATAATGAAGCCAAGCAATACACTGTTACTTTTGCTGTTTTGTCTATAATATGAAATAATTAATCTGTCAAAAATAGTCAAAGCCCCATTGGTTTGGCAGGTGGAAAGACAAGACTGCTGGAAAGAGATAAAAGAATCTTGTGGGTGATTTAGATTTACTGCATACAATAGATAACATTTAAATATGAGCTTTGATTGAACGGACACTTAAAGAGCACCTGCACTGTAGAAGCTGCCACCAAAAGTGGCAGAGGGCAAATGACTCCCTGCAGCTGATCTTTTCCCCATCACTGACTTTTCCATGCCTTGTTCTTCACTATGTGTCTGTGTAGAGGCAGCTATCTTGGTAGAAGCAGAGCTTTCTTTCCTCATGTTAGAGCTGCCCCCTTCCCCAGTGAGCGTGATCTGAAGAGGGGTAGTATTAAATTAAGGGGCTTTACTAAGACTGGAGCAGCTGTGCATGGCAACCGGTTGGCTTCTAGCTTTCTTTTTTTAAAGCTTAAATGAGCAAACTGAATGTAGAAGCTGATTGGTTACTATACACAGCTGCTACAGATTCTTTCTGCTTCAGTTTTAGTTGAGGAAAGGTAAAGACAACAAGGAGCATGGTCAAAGGTTCATGGATGGGAAGGAGGTTAGCTATTGGATAAGAGGAAAGGTGAATGGTAAAAGGCAGCGGCAGGTAAGCAAAAGGTAAGGTGAGTTTCCCCTCCCTGTCACCAGTGAGAGAATAACATTATGGTAAAAGAATTAAAAGCCATTGTAGTTTTCAATAGAGAAGTTTTGTACCATGTAAATATTATTCAATTTTGCGAAGAATTTATTGTTAACCTACTTGTATGAGGTCTCACTATTTCATTTAAAACTTCTGATTTATACAGTATATGTATGTTGAACATTTGTAAATGAGATTTCTTTTCTTTACACAGTCGGGAAACCCACAAGATTGCTGTGTTTTATATCGCTGAAGGTCAGGAAGACAAGTGCTCCATACTGTCCAACAGCAGGGGAAGCAAGGCATATGAAGATTTTGTAGCTGGACTTGGGTGGGAGGTAACTAAATTCATCTTTAATTGCTGCTAACCACTAATAATAAAGTCTGTTTTTCCAGTTTAGTTATAATTCCTTTTAGTGGCCATTTGTTTGGGTTTTATTCCCCTTTGTGTATGTAGTAAAAGATGACAATGATTCTAGTTTTATTACAGCTATTCAAATGTAAAATTAGGACTGCAACCAACTACTATTTTCATAATCAATTCGTTGGCTGATTATTTTTTTTGATTAATCGCATTTAAAAAAAAACATCTTTTATTTAAAATAAAATGCACAAATGGAGTGTTACAAACATAAAGTTTACTTGAGAGTAAAACTGCATGCACAACTAGGGTGCCATTTGAAATGAATGGCACCTCAACGCACCTCCTGCAGCAGAATTTGTATGTATTATATTAGACATTTTTAAAGGAGAACAATGGGGTGTACATGTTTGTGCATTTTTAGTTTCCTTATGATACAGGCATACATTTTGCAAATGCACCATAAGCTTACAATTCAGTGTAATATACTGTGGGCAGGGCTAAGCTCTGTGCTGAGAACAGATCCCGACTTTATTGTCGGGATCCTCTTCTCCCATTGAGTGACAGCAGCTTGTAGGAGCTGCTGCATGTTCATAAAAATCTGTGCAGATGCTCAGGGCACACCCAATCGGAGTTTAATTATGTCCGGTCACAGGTCTTTGAACACTAGGACATCAATCCTGCTCCCCTCTCCTCTCCACACTGATTTCTCCAGACAATACACATACCACATCGGCACTAAGAATGGGTTATACACTGGGAGAAGAAGAGATAAAGACAACAGAGGGGAGGAGGGCAAGCACACGAGGACAGAGCTAAAATGAGGGGTCTAAATGCCAATGTGGTATGCGTATTGTGAGGAGGGGGAGTAAAATGCCCTGAGCCTCTGCATAGGTTCTCAAGAACGCGCAGCAGCTCCTACAAACTGCTGTCACTCAATGGGAGAGGAGGATCCAGACAAGATTGTCGTGATCACTTCTCAGGACAGAGTAAGACGATTGTAAGCTTATAGTGCATTTTTGATTACAGCAGTACATTGCAAATGTATTATCAAAGGGAAACTAAAAAATGCAAAAAAAGATGTGCCCCATAGTACAGCTTCAATAATCTGAATTGAAAAAATCCAAGCCAATATATTAAAATAACCAAATTTTTATTTAAAATAACACAACGACCAAAATTGGACAAAAAATAACATTTTATATACTGTATAAAAATATATATAACAGCCCGGTCATCAGTTTAGAGTTAGCCATGAATATTGGCCCGAGAATTGTTGCTCTCACTCTGGCGCACGTGGCGGTGCCTGACTTGTAGCGCAATTGTCGTAGTTAGGTGACTTGACTTGTGCTTTAGTATGCTCACATTCACGGGGTATTTTTTAATTGAATTTTATTAAACTTCTTTTTTCTTTTTTTCTTCTACTTCATTGCTATCACATAGACCCCTAGTGTCACCTTTCCACTTCAAATAAGCTATTTAAGCGCACATTAGCAGAGGAGGGACCTGAAGGAGAAAGTTCTCCTTCAGGTCTGCTTTTCTGCTGATTGACACCAGGCAGTGGGCAGGTACAATAGCCAGCCTTCTATTTGCTACTGCAATTTGAAATAGCCACAAGCAGGCTGGCCATTGCTCCTGACCACTGCAGATTGGAGTCTTGCTGTCCACTTTATACAATCGACAGTTGAATGAAACAGGGAGAGGAAGGGGCGTGAGCACTGGCTGCAGTGTTCTGTGTTCCCTCCGATCCCCGCTGCCTCTGCCAATATAGGCGAGGGAGAGCAGCAGGGATTGGAAGCAACACAGACCGCAGCATGCAGCAGGCTCTGAGAGGTGCAGAGGGGGAGGCGGCTCCCTGTGGGGTGGAGAGAAGCAGGGGATGCAGAGCAACGAATTGATAATGAGAATAAATTAGTTGTTTCTTAAGTTTTAGTTGTTTAGTTAAGCAGTACATATTGAACAAACTGAACTTTTTTTGTGTTCAATAACATGTTTGTGCTGTGCGAAATAAGCCTTTCGTTCTGGTTATTTTAAAAATACATTGCCACTTAATATAAGTTTTCAATTAAAATGTTCTAGCTTTAGAGAAAGATTAATATTACTAGGGATGCACCGATACTGATACTAGTATCTGTGCCGAAGCTGAGTACTTGGGCGGCCGGTCATAAAACGGCGCCCGGCTTCCTGATTGACCAGAAAGTCGGCTCCATGCTCCCTAGTCACCTGGTGATCAGGAAGCCGGGTGGCTAGTCCTTACACTCTGCCCGGCTAATCAAGACGCCAGGTGGTGAGTCATTACACGCCGCCTGGTTTCCTTAATGGGAGTTCCAGTATCGGTATTCGGTATCAGCAAGTACCAAAAAATAAAGCGGTACTTGATACCGAAAAACCGGTATCCCTAAATATTACCATATCCCCTTCTTGCTCTTTTTTTTGGGTGAAGTTTTAGTGGAAGACGCAATGAAAATACAAAGGGACTTTTTAGGCATCGGTAATACAAACATATATATGTCTGTCTAAAAAAAACAAAAAAACTTTTTTATTAAAATCCCATGGAAAGTATCAAAATATAAATACATATAAGCTGTAATAAGATATTACATATCCCCCTCAGGTACCCCTAAACCAACCACTGTATAGTTTACATTTTCTGTAGTATTGTGTTCAACATATGCTGTTATTTAACAATGGATTGGCTGTAACTTGCCACGTTTCTCAGAACCTAGTCTACTTCGTCAGTAGGTATGGGGAAGCATCTTAATATCAACATTTCCAACAAAAAAGGCCACACCCCATGTGTCTGTGGGGATCTGTGCATGTGAGGTCCCTGTGTACTGTGCAGTAGATTCCCCTACTGGACTGCAATATACTCTGCGTTCTGCTTGTGTATATCTAAGTGCCAACCCATACTTTGATTGTATATATTGGACACACTTGTGTTATGAATAATGACCAGGAAAGATCGCTTCACTTAAAGAAGGGAATTTATTTTACTTTTCCACTTTTGCAGCCAAATTGGGATAACACCAGTTTTATATTTGTTACATGTTCCCATTCATATAGTTTAACTTAATAAAATAAAAACTACTGGTTACATATTAAGTGACCTTTTCTGAAATCTGCCTCTGGAATGCAATGGGGAGGAAAGGTAATGTTTAACCTAATTAACCCTGTCTGTGCTGTGCAGGCCGATCTCTTTATCAGCTGTAAACTAGATTAGATTACTTTCTGCCCTAACAAAGGGTTTATGATCTAGAAGCATTTTACATGAATGAGAGGAAACTCAGTATGTCCCTAGTCTTTCTATGGGGACCGACAGAGTTTCCTGTGACTTGAAATTGTTCAGAGAAGCTCCAAATGCCTGCTTTCCAGACACATCTAAAGGGTAAGACATTTTTTTATACTATTATTATTTAGGGCTGCGGAAATTAATGATTAATTCCTCGATTTAATCGTTAATTTTTTTTGATCGGTACTCGCCTCTCCTCCGTCTTCCGGGAGTTCTGTCGGAGATCCCCTTCCCCAAGTGGCTCTGTCCGCTAACGAAGGGAAGGGGGAGGAGTCCGGTGACGTCGATGTCCGTGACGGCTAACGAAGGGAAGGGGGAGGAGTTCGGTGACGTTGATGTCCGTGACGTCACCGGACTCCTCCCCCTTCCCTTCGTTAGCCGACGGAGCCACAAAGGCGCCATGATTTAAAAGTAGACAGAGAGAAAGTACTTAGAACGCATCAGCCGTATCAAATAGGTTCTCAGAAGAAGCACAAAAAGGTAATGTTGCCATGTTGCTTAATGTTACTATGTTATATAAAATAGTTCTGTAATGCTTTTTAAAAGTCAGTCCTGTTGCTCTTCAAGCGTGTATAGCCAGCGCAGAAAAAGATTTCAAATGACAAAAAAATGGAGTGGACTTTTTTAATAACCAACCGGCCCATATACACACGGAAGAGAGCAGCTTCCTGGGACATTCACCTTTCCATTTTTGTAACCCTCCCCCTTCAATAAAACCTGAATGTGTTAATTTTTTTAAATTTACCTTTTTTTTTTTATTTCTTTGTGTGGCCCTGTCCCCATTACCATTGTTGCTTAGACAAGAAATCTGTATGTGCGTTATAATTGATTTTAAAAAATTTCGATTAATCAAACACGAAAATTTTAATCAGTAACCGCCCTATTATTATTATATATGCTGAGTGAATAGGAACACAAAACAAACATACAGTGGGATTTTCTCAAATATACGGAAATACAAAATTTCAGCGTTGGTTCAGAGGACTACTTGAAATCTTAACCTCTAACATGTGAACAGCACTGGTAAATTAAACATGTTTTTAGTGTATGTGCAGCCATAGATACTTCTAGAACTAAAAGACTATTCTTTTCATTGAAAACCTGTTTAATGTGTTGCAAATGCTTTCTTTTTTTCTTACCGTTCAGGTTGACCTTTCCACACACTGTGGTTTTATGGGTGGTCTACAGAGAAATGGAAGCACTGGACAATCTGCTCCATACTATGCTACCTCTACTGTTGAAGTGATTTTTCATGTGTCTACACGGATGTTATCTGACTCTGATGATTCCCTGACCAAAAAGGTAAACATTTTGGTAGGACCTGCTCCATCCGAAGAAACAGCAGGTCAAATGCAGCCTCAGAAATGTCCATACTACACCATTAAATAAATGAAAATCTCTTGACCAGAAACATTTCAGTTTCTTTTTACCTCTCCAGTCAGTACCTGTATGTTTCCTTATTTGGTAATTTGCATTATTAGCTGTCTTCTTTGATCCCATTTCCTTTGAATAACTAACAGATAACCTGGATGTGTGCCCTTGTAACCTGTGTCATTGTGCGGCAATATTTGACCTTGTGTTACTCTGCTGGAAAGTGTCATGTTCAATGTTAATTGATGAGCTGGGATTATGCCTTGACTGAGGCACTTTTTAGCATCAGAACCACCCCCCGATTGAAGTGAAATGACTTAACTGTGGCGGAAAGCTGCCTAGATGAATCCAGTCACGCTGCTGACCACCTTCAAAGTGTGCCATTTAAAAAAACTGGATGCCATAGTTTTGATAGGAAGGTTGGAAGGTTCCCCACCGAAGGAACCATGACTCAGATGGTACCTTTTTCAGCTCAGAGATTTGTATTCATTAGCAATAAGCATTTTTTTATCAGGATGTCTCTCTGCTAGAATAGAAAATCAATCAGACTAACAGCTTCCTACAATCTGTCCTGCTTCCCTAACTAAATTGCAGCTAACCGCCCTGAAATGAGGTTCTTTAAGAAGTAGGAAAAATAGCCTTGGCTTATTTGATATTTGGCCATGTTTGAGGCAGAACCTTTCCCCATGCAGAGACCTAGATGTAGCCCCATCGTGAACTCTTGCGCCTCTGCAGCAGAAATTTGTTAGCTATTTCGAGATTAGATTTTTAGCAGCTAATCTCTCTGCTGTAGGGGTTTGTAAAGTGGGGACAGGGCTGTGCTATTGGATTTGTCCAATTCATTTAACTCTAGGACTATAATTGCACTTATGTCTTACCAGGCTTTTATAGCCCGGGGCTGGCCGGCAGCAGAAAAACAAATTGGCAGTGATACAGTAAGAGTGAAAGGGAATGAAAGGAGCACATTATTAGTCTCCAGGCACCGCTGGTCTGGCAGGAAGTTTCTCGGTTAATTTACAAATAAAACTTCGATTTTAGGATGGGCACACTGTCAGGGAAACAATGAGGTTGTTAGGCTCAAGATACTTTGTAGGAGCAGCCGCCGTGACTATTCGACAGCAGAAATTCTTCAATCAAATAGACAAGTTCTTGCTGGAGCCAGCTGGCCATGTAATGCAATTAGTAGGGAAAGGAGGTCAGACCATTAGGTGTGTACCATGACCAGTGTCACTAGTGGCGTGCTGCCCGGCCGGCTGCATATTAGAAAGACGAGTAGGGAGGGGCTAGAGGAAGGGAAATGAGATGGCCTTTTCAGCAAGTGAATGAGTGTGGCACATGGGCAGCCTCTTAAACTATTATAGTGTTTTGCTAAGGCTTGAAAAATGAGCATTTGTTCAGGAGCTTGATAGCAGGCCCCGGCTGCTGTTTGAGTGACCATGTTCAGGCAAAATGAACTAGCTTCAGCATAGACAGTAGCAACATGTACGTTCTCCAGCTGACCTGACCCTCTCAGACATGGCTTGAACTACACTTGCACCCTAGTTCCTTGCCATGTTGTGACTAATAGGTTATTAGATGCCTTTGTCAACTGTTTCAGTAATTTATTCTAAGAAAATAGTTGGTGGTTGTTCTAAAGACCAAGATTGTACATTGGCCAGTGTTGCCAAGCAATTACATTTTGTTCAGCATTGTAAGGTTTAAAGGGCTCACAGAGGCTTATCTTTATTATTAGACTCTTATTATTTTTTGCAGAGCTGTTCAATGTGTTTAATTTTTGCAGGTAAATATCTGAGTCAGGAGGGGGTCTGCTTCCATTTTTGGTGGTCTTCTGCTAATGCAGAGACTGGCACTGACATAATGACAGCAGCCCAATGCCCAGCTTCATTACACTATCAATATAGATCACCATGGTGACCCCTTGGAGGGTGGGTCCATAAAGCCCATTAATTCATGGTTTCATCAGTCTTCCGAAATACAGAGGGCATATTATGGAGAAATTTAAAAAAAACTGCAGGAAACTCAAGATTAAAGTTTATTCTTGCAGCCTGAGCTGCTTTTTTTACCCTGCCTGGTGCCCAAATGTACAAAAAAGAATTGCTCAGAGTTAAACTTTAAGTTTGCCACATCTGACAAATGTGCATTCTACTTCTGAATATGTGGCACATGTTTCCTCTGTCAATCAAAGCTACAGGAGCCCCTTCCCTATGGTGTTCTACTGACTTAAAAAATCACCACATTGGTTACCTTGGAACCCCATACATTTTAGTGGGATTTCAAAGCGAGCACTTTGGACTACTGGGGCAGGATTAATGGCACTCTCCACTTTGTTATTGTCACAAGATCCTTTCATTATAAAAATAAGAACACACTGCTGGTCTTCCTTAACCCCTTCGTGACTGACGACGTACACTGTAGATTGCATCACTTCCGGTCCCTGGGCTGTCAGTTCTGGGCTCCTACTTGCAAGGTTTCATCTGTATATTGGCGTTAGTGGTGGATCTTTGAGCTTTTAAAATGCTAGATGTTAAGCTTCAGAAAACTAACCCCAATATTTTTTTGTCAGCTTCGACACCTGGGAAATGATGAAGTTCATATTGTGTGGTCTGAACACACCAGGAACTACCGAAGGGGCATTATACCTACAGACTTTGGTGATGTTTTAATTATAATTTACCCAATGAAGAATCGGATGTATTTTATTGAAATCATGAAAAAACCAGAGGTGAGTAAACTACACAAAACAACAAGTTTGGCAAATTCTCTAAAACTATCTGTTTTGCCTGTAGTGTTCATTTTCTAAATAAACCCGGGTAATTCAAACTGGCCATATCATGACAATATTACAGTAGTGAAACTCATGTGTTGGTGCTAGCTGTGTGATCTTAATGATTTGCAGATGTCTTACTTTAAAGTAACATATTTATATCAGTGGAAGTGTCCTTTAATTCACTATAAAGGTATGTTGAACACTCTGTGGATAAGAGTTGCTTATAGAATGATAAACTAGAACTTCTAAAGAAATCATTTCATGAGGGAAGACTGGAGGTTGCCAAAGCTGACCTTTTGCTGAAAATGGTAGTTCCCTTTTTTTTTTTTTTTTTTTTTTTTTACCCACATGTTTTTTCTTTAGTAGATTTGGCTGCTGTAAGGTTCCGCATTTCCTGGGGACCTCGCAGCACCTGTTTACAGGCCTGCATGTGACCCCTGCTGATCCTCCACATCTGCCCCTGCTGCAATCCTCCGCGTCGGCCCCTGCTGCCATCCTCCGCGTCGGCCCCCGCTGCGACCCTCCTCCGCGTCGGCCCCCGCTGAGATCATCTGCCCGAGACATTAGACCGGCACCCTGGAGCAGAGCAGCAGCACAGAGAATGTAGCAAATTAATATACGATTCTGCATTGCTGTATAAAGTATTGCTCTGATTTATAGTCCTCTTTTGGGCTACAGGTATGGATGCACAGATACTCAGGGAGTGCCAACGATCCACGGGTGGGGGACACAATACTTGCCTTGCCCCGGGTGCTGAGAATCCACGCTACACCACTGATACCTTTTTAAGGATGAGTTTAGCATTAGCAGCAACGCTAGATTTGTTAACCTGTTAAAATGACTTCACAACAGCAGAAGCAGTTAACTTAAAGTGACATTAAACCCTCAGATTTTTTAACATAAACCAATACTGTAATGTGTGCCTTACTGTAATCCATGGTTGTTTCCCTTCTCTTTGCTGCTCTTCCTTTTAAATCCTCATGTCTTCTCATGCTTGGGGAGAACTTCCCTTTGCAGCTGAGTGCCTCTTCCTGTAGTGCTGGCTCAGGTTGCAAACCTACACACAGACACCATGTATCGATTCCAGAGACAAGGCAGTCTGCTGCAAAACAGAAGTTCTGCCCAGCATGAGAACAGATACAGATTTAATAGGAAGAGCAGCAAAGAGAAGGGAAACAACCATGGATTACAGTAAGGCACACATTACAGTATTGTTTTATGTTAAAAAAATCTGAGGGTTTAATGTCACTTTAAGAGAAGGTAAGATTTAGAAATATAGAAGAAGGTGTGTGGGTATATACAAATACAAGACAGGCTATTAGTCATTACTGCTTCTTGATCTGTTAGGGCCACGAGCGTACAGAATACAGGAAATTATGGTAAGCAGGCAAGATTTCTCTGCATTCACCTACTTAGGAAACATAGTGATCAAAGCTTGCTCTCAAGTGCCAGAAAGCACTGTCAAGGACCCTGACTGCAGGATAAATGAGAGACTGGAAAAATCTGAAATCAGCAGTCATTAAAGTACTTTGAAATTCGGTTCAATATGATGTTGGGGAAAGAATTACAAGTAGATGCACAGAAGAGAAACCTAGAATTAATTGATGTGCTGTAATTAATGTACCTCTTACAGACATCATTTTCTGAAATATATCCACATACAACTTTTCCATTATTCTGTACCCAAACACAGTATTATAATGGGCCTGCTATTAGGATCAGCAACACAGATGCTTTTTGTTTCCTTGAGCTGTTTGTTTTTTTCAATACTGAATATTTCTGCAGCTTAAGAAAGTAAAACTGTGGAAAACAAATTGACTTAAAACAAAATGGTGGCATAGCTTTTTAGTGAAATAATCAGTGAAAGAAATGACAAAAAGTCTTGGTAAATTGGAAGAGCTTTCTGCAAAATAGACTTTTTTGAATTATGATTACGATTTACCTCAATCGAAACATGCTGAAAACTAGTAGAGATATTGCCTAGAACAGCTTAACATTTAGGTGAAATGATTGGAATACAGTATTTCCACCTTTTAAATAGCCCTCAATGAAAATCTGAGAAACGCTACCATTGTAATGACCTTGTTTTGTATGTTGACACTTAACTGAATAGACCTCATGTGACTGCTGTCTGCCCCTTGCTACCTTCTGCATGAACTTGTCGTGGGAATGGGAAGACACACACACAGGTATATATACCGTGTGTGTGCGCGCGCATATATATATATATATGTATAAATATATATATAATACAGACAGCACCAAAAAAGGGAACAAAATTCTACCAGGTTTTTTTATTGCTGTACTTTGATACAGCAATTGCTCTTCACTGGTTGCCTTACTAACATCCTTGTGGTACCAGAAGAAATGAGGGAAACTAGGGTCACCAGGACAGGAAGGCACACACAAATAACCACCTGACCTAGGTTCCCCACTGTACTAAAGCATGTGTTTTTATTTTTGTTTTTTTTTCCCAGTTGCAGGACTTTCCCATTATTTACTGTCTTTCTGGCCTGGCAGAGGTTCTAACCCTACACCACTCCAGTTAAAACTAAAATACAGTTGGGCCTTTATTACTTATTTTTTTTCATTCTGTTAACCGTGGACAGTTGAAGACTTGACAGTGAGCCCTTGGTGTCAAGCAAACCGTGAACATTTCTAATAGAGCTTAATGGATACTTCAAACACCTGACTAAACTTAATAAAACAATTTAGACAGTACTATTTATAAAGTTTAGAATTTATCAAGTTTCCAATATTATATTTGTGGCAAAGGTGGAGTTAAAGGAAACCTGCCACAATCTGGGCATATGATTACCTCCCAAGCTGCGCTGCTGGTCCTTATTATGAGATCGTTTAGTATTTGTTGGCAGGTCCATCTGACTTGCAGTTGACCTCCATAATACCTTCATTCAACCCTTCCTGTATTGAATTCTTAAGGTGCCCATATACTGTAGGAGAATCGCGGGAAATCCCGCGATCGTACGATAATCGTACAGTGTATGGAAGGCGTGCGACCGTTTCTACTGTACGGTCGCACGTCTTCCGTCGAACAAGCAGGCTTGAAAACCCGCCGAGAATCGTACGATTCTCGGCAGGCGGGGTAGTGGCCTGCTTGTTCGGCAACTGCCGAACGGGCCGGTGTGCGCACGAAAGATGGGCAGATCGTACAAGCTTTTAATAAGCTTACGACCATCGCAAGCAAAACGTCTTGCGATGGTCGTAAGGTGTATGGGCACCTTAAGACATAGACATGTTCGCTACCATGATCCCTGACTAAATAGATCACATGTAATCATCCTCTCTATGCAGATTCCCGGTTGAATCTGTTTTCTTTAACCCCTTGTAGATTATTCCCTGACCAATGTAATCACTACAGTATTAATCTTTCTTTGGATTTCATCAAAGATATTTTGTAAATTGATTTTATTCTTTTTCATTATTCCAAACACATGTCACTGACCTAGACCTTATGCCATTACCCTCTCTAAATGGACTCCCGACATAATTAGGTGGAGTAACCCATTCTGTGTCTTAAAAAATTCCTTTGTGTGCAATAAATATTCGCCCTATTTTCACTGCGATCTCCTTATATATGATATAGTACATATCTACATGTTTCTCATACTTCTCTGTAGGCGTTTTTGGGTTTATATAAATAGGAGGGTGTAAGGTGTAATGACAAAGTGAAGTAACCCATAGCAACCAATTTGATTTCAGTTTACTGGAATTAGATGAGTTAATTATAAAAATGGATTTATCGCACTGTGCAATTTGGTCACCCTAATGTTACCTGCATTAGATATATATGTAAAATTAATCTTATAATGTATTTTATATGCAAGGTCTTTGTATATGTAATGGAACTCTTATATTTAAAAAGCGTGCAAAGCCATTACAGAGTGATAAAATAGATGCAGGCATTTCCAGGGCAAGTGCAGCTGACCTTCTGTTCACCAGCAACTGACCCCAGTGTGAATGGAAGAGGGAGTTGTCTGTTGTTTGGCCCCATTCCGTGGTATTTAAATTGCATTCCCAAATCAAATGAAAAGGCTGTCCTCTATCAGGTTACAACATCCATGGCAACATTTGGCTTTTATATAGCATAATGTTAGTCTCTTTTTGTTTGCTTTTAAGTAGGGACACCTGGAACTGCGCAGCTTCTGTATAAATTGCTCCGTCGTCTGTTCTGATAGCCATCAGGCTTGTACAGAAAATCCCCAATCAGATTTATTTCCATTTCAAATATAGATTTGCCAATTTAGAAAACAGAGCAGATCTGCATGTTTTCACTTAATTAAGCAATATAATTATCACAGCCCGTGAACGGGCTTCGCTCAACAAAGCCCCAGAGGAAGACAATAGAAAGTCTGTTAGAATGAAAGCATTCCACGCGTCACAGATGTATAAGGGTATTCTGAACAATGAGGTGAAAAGCTGCCTGCCATAGCGGACAAAGAGCAGCATGCAGACTCTCCACACAGCACATACCGCCAGGGATAGAGTCCATCCTCCCTGGGACCCAGATGCTGCGTTATGTTGCAGCTAGTCATCAGAGATTAATTCTCAACCATTTGGTACAATAATTTACCCATTCCCCAGTGTTTAAACCAGTGGCGTTGACTGTGGACGGCAGGTCTTTGTATTCAGAAGCTTAAGCTAACCTCATCTACTTTGTTTTCATGGAGTGTGCATTTTTTTCCTATTGTGCTGCTCCTACTTTTCTAAAAAATATTTGTTTTTATACGGACACATTACAACTGTACAATGAAAAAAATCAGTTAGTTTAGCTGGATATTCTTTTAAAACAAAGTGTTATTAAATATGGCCTATTAAGTTCTTTTTATGTCTTGGCAATGGTAGAGAAGCTAAAACCCAGTCGTTTAACCAATATCCTCTTAAAGGTGAACTCCATGCAGATATAAAAGCACACCAATTGATGTAGCCATGTGTTC